CACACCCATTCATCTCCGCCCCCTGCCTTTTATCCCCAGAGCTAGGGAGGGGCTTCAGTAGCAGCGGTGGCTCTTCCATCCCAAGGACCAGCCCATAGATTTCCACTGCTCTCCTCTCCTCTGCCTTCTGCCCATCCACGCGTCAGGCCCTGGACCCAGCTGTTCCTTCTCTTCCTCATCAGCCACCTCCAGACCTGGGGGCTGTTGACACTCCATCTGAGGGCTGATTGACAGGCCAGGCTCCACCACCGTCTCTCTCTCTGCCAGCCATTCCTTTTTACTCCTTGGAGCCCTCAGGTTGCCTTGATGCTGGCCCTGACTCCCACGCCGTCTCCTCTTCCTCCTCTGATTCGGCTGCTGGAGGCCGTAACAATGCCCTTCTCAATCTCCACAGCCGCCACGGAGAAACGGCCCTCAGACCAGCTCAGCACAGGGTCCTTCCAACCACCCGGAACCCGGCTGTCGTGGGCGCCGCCCTCCGTGCTCCGCCTTCCTTTTATTTATTAAATTTATATGCGGCCCATCTCACGATCCCAAGCAAACTCTGGTGTCTTCGTCCCGGTTTTTGTAGGCACACGCTGAGGTTCTGGAACGCAGCGTTCTTCGACGCCGTCCACTGCGAGAGGCGGAAACGGTCTCCCACTACCAGGTAAGCCTCTCCCGGGCGGCCCCTCTGGCTCTGGAGGAGGGCGAGGGGGGAGGAAAGGTTGGCTGGAGAGAAGGTTTCCCCTCCCTCTCTGGCCTTCAAAGTCCCCTTGTCAAGATGGCTCCTCCTGTTCGTTTGTGGGCGAGCTGCTTTTGGATGTTCCTCTTCGGATGTAGAAGCTCATGGAGCAAGCTCAGCTTTTGGCCCGCGCTCCAAAGAAGGGGGAGATTGGTGGGAAGGCTCTTCACTCTTGTACTGTCTTGTTGGAGGGTTGAAAAAAACTAATTCTCTCTCTTTCTCTTTCTCTCTCTCTCTCAATGTCTGTAACCCTGTTCTTTTTTTTCCCCCTTGGTTCATTTCCTCCGTCCTTTCCTTCCTTCCATTCTTTCTTCCATCCATTCATTCTTGCATGTACTTGCCATGTGACTTCTCTTGGCCCTTCCTGCTGCCACTCCAGAGGGGACACTGGGGAGGAAGAGGAAAAGAGGTGTGTCTTCCCACCTTTACTGTCTCCCCTTTCTTCCCCCTCCCTCCCCCACCTAAACGGTTATCCCAGTCCACAAATTTCCCCCCGGTGGGTGAGAAATCCTGTCGCCTGCCTCAGCTAGACGACAGAACTGGGTCACTCATGAATTTACTGAATCCATTTCTGTTGAAATGTGCTTTTCTTTGGCCTGGTGGGGGCTGCCTGCTTTATTCCAGCGGTCAGCCCTCTCTCTCTCTCTGGGACCACCTTCAGAGGCTGTCCTGGGGGGAGGGGGGGGCTCTCCAACGGACCACTTTGGCCTCCTGACTAAAATTTGCCTTGCTTTGGAAACCTGCGATGCAACAGCCATAGGGAGAAATTTTGCACGATGGGCAGGATTCCCTTCAAAGACGGGAACTCAACTTCTGGTTCCCTGGTGGAGGCCAGTGGGTTTAAAACAACAACAACAACAACACGGGCTGCCTACTGTTTATTGTCTTCTGAATTTGCATCCCACATTTCCATCCCCATCAGATATCCTAGCTCAGGAATCACGCTTAGGTTAATTGGGTTTTGCCATTTCTGCGTCTTGGCATCGGGGGTAAGTCTGTGGAAAGAGATTGCCGCTTTGAGCCTGTAAGAAAGTTTCTGAAGTTTCAGTGTTCTGTTTTGGTTTCCCCTTCCTTCCTCCTCCTCCTCCGCTTCCTTCCTCCTCCTCCTCCGCCTCCTCCTCCTCTTCCTTCTCC